GTGAGTGAGTGTGTGGTGAGGTTTGTCAACACGCTTTTGGACGGAGGTCGTGTTGCCTCAACTCTCATTTGTGAAGAGCTATATGGTGCGTGAACGCTGGTTCGCGCAAACGATGCGCCATGTGAGCGCTGGCATGTGTAAGAGTTACCGCGGGCGTGCATGCATTGTGCAAAAAACCGTGCTGTGCAACCTCATTGTAGGGGCATTGCTGTTGCTGCCAGTGAATAGACGTCATTCCATGGTGGGCGATGCTAGTGGTCCTGGCGAAGGGGGGTTCCCCAAATGATCAATTATTCAATGAGTCACCCCTATGGAAGGGGTGGGGGGGAGATATCAATGTTTGGTCCCGAGCAGGCTATTCAAGTTATATAGCCCTTTGCTTCGCAAAGCAAACAAAGTAGGGCTTGCCAGTCCGCCTCTCGCGATTACGAGTAGATGAGGAAATCACCGGCCCATGGAAACTAAAAACGTGACCAGCCCGGCCCCACCCTGGCCAGCGGGCATAAAGAATGATGACGGAAGATCAACGCTGCGCCAGTGCAAGCACCCGATGGCCTGGTCGCAACGCTTTGCGGGAAATGATTCTCAGAGATCAAGGCGCCACGTTTTCGCTTTAAAGCCGGTTCTCCTGGCGGGACAATAGCCAAAACCAGTAGTTTCATCTGATCGCCCTCGATACTTCAGCCTCTTGGACCGACCAATCGTGAGGCGGTGTTCAAAACAATGGAAATCGTTTATATACGTCAACGAGTCATCTTGCCAAACTCTCCGCGAACCCAGGGCCCAGCGTGCTTGTCCAAAAATACGTGCTAAACACACCTCTTCCACAACTGGTGTCATATCGACCGCTTCAGAAGACGGCAGTCAAACAAAAGCAGACTACATGGGTCTTCCGGCAGAGAAGTGGCGCTTGCCCACATGCCAAACAGTCGTTCGGAGCCGCCGAGTCGTACACTGTGCACTTTGCCTGTTGCACCGCCCACAGTTTGCTCAAAACAATAGTGTTTGTCCAGAGTATTTGTTCAAAGCCTAACCCCATATGCCCATATGGCAGATGTTTTGCGGCCGTCCCTTCTCTAGCTTTGTGCCTCCGTTATGTAAGGGGAATTATATACAAAGGCAACAGGCCTGACCGGCCAACCATGCTGGTGCAGGAGATGGTTGCATTCCGACATCCCTTCATCACTCATTCACCTTTTCAACGTCTCCTCAAAGACATGAACCGTGCCACGGAGTCCCGAGCTCGCCTTGCCTTGTCTATGAAACGCTCAGATGCTCAAATGATCTCCAATGTATCTGACTGCAGAACCAGAATAATCAAGCAGTCGGCTGGTCAAGGATCCTTGGCATTATGTCCAGCTTGCTGTGTCAAAGGTTTTGTTGAGCCCAGCAGGAACATCGGATGGGCAGCTTCCATGCGTGGAGGCCTTGCAGGTCGAGTCTTCCATGGCTCGCCTGGCCTAGTCTTCCAGCTTGACGCTTGGTCTGGAGTGCCACAAAAGCGAATGTTGTCAAAGAAGATGCCGCTCGTCCTGCGAGATACAGAAGATGGACTAGAAATCCATTGGGCGTTGAGGCAGGTCGACAGGACAAAGCAAGCATGAGGAACCAACCTGCCCTCCTACCTTCTGTGGCAAGCAGGTCATCCCAAGAACCAAACGGGAGCGGACATCAGGCATCAACTCAACGCAGCCATGGCATCCCGACCATGGCATCCTGACGTGTAACTGGCCACGACCAGCTCAGGCGATGATGGCTGCAAGTGGGACCGGCTTGGGACACCAAGGCAGCACCCAGCGTAGGGCATTCGCTTCGGCTACACCACAAGCATGCGCACGGGAAGGAAGAGCGCGTAGTGGAAGCCCAGAGCGGACGGGTGTGGGGGTGTCGTCACCGCAGGCAGATCGACGCTGGGGGCCTGAGCCACATCTTAAAGGCCACGCGAAGGCACGCTGTCGAAAGACAGGATCAGTGGCTGACACTAATCAAGGAGGATGGGTGCAAACTCCAAGTGCGATTCCCAAAGCCCATAAGCCGCCAGTCTGTCAATGAACGTTTCACCATTTTGGTTGGTGAATTTGCCACACCGAAGAACTCAGGAATTCAAGTATCAAAGACACCGGCAAACCACCAGCAACATTAAGTTAGAACAACATCAATCCCAAACGAACACGCAATCAACAAGAGATGCCTCCTGAAGGCCTGGCAATCAAAGACTCACTCGTGCAAACCGAGCACAAAGCAAACTAAGCAAGCCGCCACTTGGTTACACCAATATTAGCTTAGAAGCCTGGAGCCACCCTGGAGGGAAGGTGAAACCACGGGAGTGGTTCAGATGTCAGACAACATGAGCTTCCGAGCTCAAACCACCTCATCATGTGTTCAAAGCATGTTTGTTGTTGCTTAGAATTGTTGCCGTGCAGGCATCATGCCGTTTGCATACCGCACTTAGCCAATGACCCAGCTTCAAAGCCGACATATACTGAACGCAAGCACGTACTCTGCAGGAAAATCGATAGTGATAGTGTACGACTCCATGTGCCGTTTGTGAACATCCACAAGCTGCTGTTGTATGTGATGTGTCGAGCCATGATGCGAAGTGATGCGCTCTGTGGTGTGTCCTGCGCAACGAACTGCGTGCATCTGCAGCATCCCTGCAGAGCGCGGAGGCGAACGGCCTGAACCGGCACACTCTGCCGCCCCACACGAGAAAGAAGACCGTGAGAACTAGCAACCAAGTCAGCCAAAACATTGGACACCCTAGAGCTGCAAACGCGAGATCGCCAAACGTAAGCAGCTGCAAAAGTATTGCTGTGCTGAACGAGCGGATTCACGCGGGTAGGTGGACCGTCCCAAGGCTTGCGCTGGCAAGTGTATCTGGAATGCTTTGCCCTTTGAGCAGCGTCTTACAGCTCAATCTCAGCTCAATGCAGCCAAAGGCGTGCGATCGCGATCCCGTGCGTTCATCAAACTCGAGGTTGCGATCCCCCAAAAAAGAATCATGCTCCGCAGCGTCTTCATTGACCTTTTTTCTGGCATGCAAGACTTCGGTACCGTCAGCATGGGAAATAGTTCTTTCGCGTTGCAGCGGTCTCAACCAATTCCTATGTACAACAAGTGTTGGAAGACCTGGGTCGGATACGGAGGTTTCCCTCCCACGTGCTCAGCTCGTGCTCAGCTCGTGCTCAGCTCGTGCTCAGCTCGGTACATTCGTGCCGCTGCTGAAAGCGCATCTGTTCGGCTCACTAGGTTTGTCCGTTCCCTCGAAATAGGGGACCCTGCAGTGGCCGAGAGTGGGATGCAAAAAACATGAAAAGCAGTGGCCGGCAGTGCGGCAGTTCGGCTCTGAAATAAGGACATCTGCACGAGTTAGGCTGTGCTTACCACATGTCAAATCAATCTTCAGACACGTGACATGTCAATCATTCTGTCAGCGAAAAAAGAAAAATGTCAGGTTACACCTGCAAATACTCGGTCATCGAATCCCACCCAATGCTCTGCACCTCAGTGGGCGAAGACGGTGCCGATCGATTCATTGGGCGAAGATTGGGCAATCCAGATTGGACGTCTCTGCGCACGAAGAGATAGCATTGGATCACTCGAATCTCACATCATCTTTGAGCAGTCTCTAGTCACAGTTTCTGATGACTGACAAAGCGAACTGGGAACTCCCACAGGCTCCGGTGGTGGGGGTGGGAGATCATGCTTCGCCAACAATTCCTATCAGAAAGAGGTTTGTTTGGTTCTGAGGGAAAACATTCTTGCCCTCCCAAATTCAAATTACAGTAAAGACATATATAGAACACCACCACTCTGTCCAACGGAAGTGCAACAAATCGTGCCAACTTCTTCGATTTCGCACAAACATCGACAAATGGACAAAATCATGACAGTAAGGAGCCCTTCAAAATCTTCAAACTATACTAGCAATCCCCAATCCACTTTAAACACACCATGACACACCATGACGCAGAACGGACACCAAGTCGAGTCGTTTCGAAGCTCGTCGCCCTCTCCTCGACTCGCAAAGCTCGTTGCTGCAGCATGTCCTGGGTCGCTGCCGTGCCACTGCCGCCGTGCCCTGCTTTGGGACACAGAACTGGAGTCAGCCCCAATGCATCGCTTGATGACACAAATGCACGAAGACAACTGACGCTAGCTGACAGCCATGGCCGTGGTCGACGAATTCTGCAAACACCTATGCCCACTCGTTTAGAAAACGCAGTGAGAAGTGTGAGAAGTGACCCTTATAATCCCTTATAAGTTTAAAGTCGCTTGTCCATCCCGGGATCATGGTTCCTCTGCACCCCCGGAGGGAGAACGCTTCCAACGTGAAAACCATCGCGTCTGCTCCCACGGACACGGACTCCCCCCCTCCTTGACCATGGACTGCCAAGCTTGAGGCACCACGTGGAACCTGGACGAGACCGAACGAGTTGTTCTTCCACCGGAACCGGACCTGACAGCGCCGAAAGGACAAGAAGAGACCCATCTCGATGGAACAGGTTTGAAACCACCCAGAAGACTGCAGATGGTCCTTTTCTTCATATTTCTTCAACCACGAATCCATTCTAGTTTCAAATACCATGGCCGTTTCTTGGCTCTTTCCAGAGCCACTTCCATCAAACACCCACCAGCTTTCTTCGCCCCCCACCGGCGGCCCGGCCAGCCGCCCCTTGTGGCCCTTGACGCGGCCTGACGAGTCCAAGACCATCTTCACTGGACAGCGCCAGGAAGAAGAAGCCCAAGGCCTCAGACCCCACACGCCATCCACCGAAGCCACCGCCGCGACCAGACACCGAGTCGTCGCCGGTGCGTGCGTGCGTCAGTCCGACGGGTCGAGCGTGAAACGTTTTCTGAGGCACGGACCGCCCAGGATAGGCAGTCGAGCAATCTTCTCACCTCAACCGAAACTCCGGCATGTCTTTTTCAAATAAACAACCGTCTCAGAACCTCTTGTATCCGTGAAATAAAAAAAACAGCTTTCATGAGATTCACCTTGGTACTTCATTTTGGGCTCAAGCCTGGCCAGAGCCCCCAACGCCTCACCGGTGCCATCCGCAAAACGCACACCATCGCGCTGGAACGCAGCTGTGAAGCTCTACAGCTGTTTGTGAGGCCAGCACCCTTCATTGCCTGGGAAGGAGGCGCAATCAAAGCACGTTTGATGAAGGAGTTGGGTGGGAAGTGAATGTACTAAGAGAGAGGCAAAACAGCAGGAAAACCACAAAACTCCAAGTAGATACATAGATTCTAAAAAGAATCATAGGACGCACGCTAAAACGGAAGCAGTGCAAACTTGGGGTTGGTGGCTGATTCCCTCAAGGAGCTGTTCAGAGGCTTGGTCTCGACAAGCTGCTTTAGGAAGATTGTGGTTATCAATTAAGGTCTATTGTGAACTGTGGTCAAAACCCGTCGTTGCACTGGTTGCGACAGAAACACATGTAGTGAAAATTGAGCCCTTTTCACCCAGCGAGCGTCCTTCCTAACAAAATTTCGCAAACTGGTCATGGGAGGTTCACTCTTGGCTCATGTCTTCCAGTCGTGAGCTTCCGGCAAAGGCTTCCACGGAAGGTCTCACCTCCTTCGGCAGTTGATCCTGGTCCGACCGAACGCTGAAACCGAACCCCACGAGATCGAACGAGAAACCTCTCTGGGTTTGACACCTGTTGTCTCAAAGCAACACGAGTCAACACGAGTCAACGTTTGCCCCGTTCAAAGAAAGCACAAAACGATTTACTATGATGTACCAAGGGATGAGTGAACAAAAAAAAGAAGCCTTGCGGGGGTCATTCCAAGCCATTCCAAGCCAGATCCCTTCGGTTGAAGTTCACAGACCGCACAGACCGCACGGCACCCCCGCGCCTTGAAGCCATCCAACCTCGCTTGCAATTGACGCCACTCACTTGGACGATGAGCCCCAGCAGCCGTGGATTTGCAGAGGGCCTCCCAGCATGGAGCGCATGTGTTGGAGGGCTCTCTGGATGATTTATGCTGATTTAATCCATTTTTTGGGAGTGCACGGTGCAAACCCTTCAAACAGCTCCTCTGCACCGTGATTGGCCAAAACAACAGCTGAATGCAAAATCGTTTTCTCAAGGGCTCATTGGTCTCCCAATTGATCCCTCCAAGCTGAAGCTCCAAACTACAGGAACTCAGCTGCCGGGCCTTCCAAACCGTTGAGAGCTCGCTGCTAACTTGATCTTTCTCCTCCAACTTAGGAGTTGAGGGTGGGTCCAAGAAGTACATGAATATCATGAGGAAAGGGTGGAAAACTTGAGCTGCAGCCTATATTTTTTCAATCTGACATCTGACAAACTCAACACCTGTACATGAACATTTAAAGCATTTGGACAGAGGGAGGGACCCCGAAATAGTTGGAAAAGTCGATCGCTTCAGGCTTCAGGGTCGGTATTTACATGCCATGCATGTTCATGAGGAAAAGACTATCGCCGTCCTCGGGCTGCAACCCTTGCCGCGCTTGCCCTGGCGTGTCTGATGCTATCCAACTGGTCGCAATCACCGCCTCAGAGGCTTATCGCAAGCTAACGCTTCATTGTGACGATGTCCAGTCCGACTTGTTGCTTTGTTCCTTTCTTGCATGGTGTCTTTTTTGGAAAGGATACTTGCTGCGTTAGACACTTCGGAAAATGCACAACTCAACTTGACATGGCGGCCTTTATGTCTGATCGATGGTCCGTTTTTGGTTTTCCTGGCCTTCTTTGGGCTGGGAGTTCTTATGCTTCCAGCCATGGCCTAACCTTGGCCTCCCAATCTTTGTGGGAGCTCAGCCAGGGCTTCGTGCATCCGATGGTGTTCGTTTCGCAGCCTAGGCCGACCCCGGGAGCAAAGGCGGAGGAAACAGGTGAAGATCTGGTTGCCAAGTGGCCAAGTCAGGAGGAATTGGAGAAATGAAGGATTCACAAACCTTTGCCAGCGCCAAGTGGTAGGACAGAAAAGAGAAGTCGATCACATCACTTCCATACCTTGGATGTCTAAGAGTTAAACATCAGTCGACTGCCGATGTTCCAAGCTCTCATGGTTGCCTATCACGCCAAGCCAGTGTCTCATGTTTGGGCTCTACCGGGTTACGGATCGCTGATATAGACACAGACATCCAAGAGGGACTGAAAGGTGGCAGGGACGATGACCGTTTGAGCCACCTGGGCCACCAGCAAGGCATAGTGACCCAACACCAAGGCAGCTGCACCGGTATAGCCACACCCAAGACCCATGATGGCATGGCTGCACTGCACCATGACCGAGATCCTTAGCGAAAACATATCTTTTTGGGGGGTCTCATGAATTCTGCAAAGTGACTACAATAAGAAAATCATGTCTGTTTGCACGGCCAGCTAAACAATTTGAATGTATCACAGGAAGTTCGCCCATCAAAACCGTGTAAGAGTCGACAGCCAAGGATCAATTGGACATAGGTGTACCTCAACGGTTGAGGCGGGTCCCTCCGTCTCTGGTTCTTCGACAGATCAAAAGTCTTCACCAACATGCATTCGCCAGCGTATGAGTTTTACGCTCGTCCGTCTTGACCGAGGAACTGGGTGTGGGTCAAACACATTGCTGTTATCAATGACCTCCGTTAGTAGCCGTAAGTATTTCCCCAAACAGCATTATCGGATCTTGACACCATCCACGAGGGCTGTAAAAAACATGTGCTCCTTTGGAATTTTGGGGCGCCTCTTGATTGGACGCAAGGTGTATGTTGAGGGAATCTGGTGGGGCCCGGTGGGAGGAGGATACCACATTCCAGCCACATCCAGACTTGAAGAGCTACGGCAGTTGCGTGCCCAGTTGTGTGCGAATCGCTGAGATGGCAGCTCGACCATTGCAGCACCTCAAGCAAACGACTTGACTCTTTCAGTCCGAACATCCGAAAAGGTACCAGGTACTAACGTTGCATGATGTTGATGGTTTGGACGTTGATGCTTTGGATGTTGATGGTTTGCTCTCAAGAGTTTGTCTCTGCTTTTTTCTTGGTATCGCATCTCTCTGTGTCAGCTGCGCTGGGGATGCACGCGATGCGAAAGAACAAAATGAAAGGACCTAAACTGAGAACCCCAAAACACAAACTCTCTCTCTCTCTCTCTCGCATGGAGCCAAGCCGAGAACTTCGAACCCCTCTTTCTCTGATTCACCTTTTTTGACTATTGGAAGACTTGCAGGTTTTTGCGGGGTTTTCTACCAGTCCAACATGGTGGAATTGAAGTCCTTTTGATGCTGGGGGAGTGTAGGGAGCCAACGGGGCAAACCTTGCTCGTGACCAGGGGCGTTGCCATCAATGACATCGCAAAAAATCAGAAACCATTGCTCTGAGTTACCGTGACGTGCCCAGCGTTTCTGTGGGCGTGATTTTCTTCTTCGTCGGAGTCGACGACCAAGCCGCAGTTCCGACGAAAGTTGGCAGCGACAGAGAAGGACAAGCCGTGACGAAACATGTCGGGTTTGTGTATGGCAGACAGGAACGCTGCCACGCACAAGGGCAAAAACATCTATCATTGTGGTACGTATGTTTGAACGCCCGAATTTCAAGTTTTGCTGTGATGGTTTGATAGATGCAGTACAGGCGTTCTTCTGTTGAGCGCGTGCTTGAGGGGCCTCTTGATTGGCTTAGTGCGCATTTGGTTGTGTATGCAGTTGACATTCATCTGCACTGGGAGATCACCTCCATGAGCCAGGGTCTTGTCACTGTGTGGCGCCCCTACCGCATCAGTGCAGTCCTCCTAGTTGCCAAGTTCTGGACATTGCCAATCCTGTTCCGGAGTTGGTATCATGTGTGATGATGAAGCCTTCCCATGGACCACCTGCGTAGATCGCACCATTTTTGCTGCTCTGGTTTTTACCACAGAACAGGGTAGGGAAAGAGAGACCGTTGAGGACGGTCCAACACGACGATCTTGGCGCGCTCCTTGCGGCCAATTTTGATTGAATGCTTTCGGGTCACCGACTTGGAGCATGATGCTCGTAGAAATATCCTGCTGCGACACGTGTCAGCAACCTTCTGGAATGTAACTTTAAAAATTAAACAAAATGTCAACCGAATGTTATGAACTTGAGCAGTTGAACTAATTCCGGAAAGAAGAACTATTTGATAAGTAAACAAGAGTAAAAAAAACATGATAATTAATTGGCCCGGAAAGTTCGGAATTCCAACTAAATTTTTAAAACAACGGTAATAATCGTATTTTTGACATGTTTGATTCCAGGAATCCCGCTAAGAAACATTGCTATAACTATTACTAAACAAAAGCTTCAAACAAGACCATTAACAATTGTTTGTTTAATTCCGCAAAGAGAATTCGTAAAATGATTAACAATAAAAGTGCCTGGAAAGCTCGGAATTCACAACAATCAGTGAAATTAATAAGATTCGTAATTTGGTGATAGAAAATTGTTGACTTTGATAACTTTATTTATTCCGCAAAGGTAGTTAATGAAATGAATGCATTAAATTGGCCTGGTAAGCTCGCAACTCCTAATCAATAGCAAAAACAATAAATTTAGTATTTGCTTGACTGAAAATGATTGGTTTTTAACTCCGGAAAGAGAAAGCGATTCTAATAGTTTTTAAAAATGTGTAATTAGCCTGGGAAGCTCCGAATTCGAATATAATGAGATTATCAAGTATATTTCTAAACATGTTTAAACTATTAAGTTGGCGTTGCATTTTCTAACAATGACTTTTTTGAAGGATAAGTGTTCGAGTTGAAAGCTTCCAAATCTTTTCGTCAATTTTGCAAGATCCTCGTAAGACTGCCTCGTCCTGTTGATACTTTGCAACAGAAACTTGTAAGACCTGTTGTGCTCACCCTCTTTTGCACGATCAAACAAATCAATGTGACTCATACCTCAGAATTGAACTGGTTCGAATCTGTCTCAACAGGATGTCCTGTAACACATTCTCATGAAGTGGTTCGGGCATACCATCAACACGGAGTTGAACAATCTTTTCATCCAGTCTCACCAAAATGGGAGTGCCATTTGCTGGCCACGCAAAGCTGTACTAAGGCACTTGATACCAACGGACAATACAGCTGGACACTCATCTAGCAAAAATATGGCGTACATGGTTCGAGCAGTTGCTTCATCTGCAGTGATCAGGCTGATTGCATGAGGTGCCTTACAAGGATTCTCAGCATCCATGACCTTTCTGCTAAGGAGATCTTGTTCACTCCCTGAGTCAACCAACCATGAAAACTTTCCCTCCCTTGGGCCTTGGGGCCGGACTTGCCACAAGCGGCGGGACTGCCGTTGGGCAAGGTTTCAAATGAATCAGGCCCCTGCAAGCACGGCGCGTGAGCGATGGTTCAAGGCACTTGAAATGGCACGAAGGCTCATTAGGGCTCTCAAACTTACGAACAATCTCAGCCAATTGCCTTGCTCTGACTTTTGCCAGATTGGCTGCTTTCGGATCGCTCGTGGCATAGTGCAGCTTATGCTTGCGAGGCTCCTTGATCATCTTGCAATGCTCCCCTCGAGCGGGGATCGTGTGGACTTCAGGCTTCCTATAGTGAATCTGACCTTTCGGCTAGATGATTTGGATCTACCACGCATCGGAGGCAAACAAGGCTTCTTAAGACATGATGGACTTGGCAAATCGGCTGCCAGACAGGCAAAGCGATTGCGAAGGCACACAGCAGCATTCTTGGAGTCCCCTTTCTTTTCCTTTCCGGGTTTAGGGGAATCCTTTCTGGCCTTGGTCTTTGCGGCCGGAGCTGCTTTGTCACCATGCTTGAAGAAACACACGTCACCCCGTCTGCATGTTCCCTGTTGGTCATACCGACGTGGAGTCTTAGCCATTTCTTCTTTGGTCATCTTCTTTCTCTCTCTATCTTCACTCTTGTCTCTCTGCTCCTTCTTCTCTTTGGATGGCTGGCGCCTTCTAGATGGATCACGTTTACTGTAGTGAAGGGCTGAAACAGCTCACCCTTTCAGGACTTTCCCTGCCCTTCTCCTGAAGTATCTAGAGTGAAAACAACGGAGTTGTTTTTTAGTTCTCTAGGAAAGTGTTCCGGTAGCGAACGCTGATGCTTAGTGACTTGCTTAGTGCTATTAGGCAACTGCTTCAACTCTCCCGACGCTGTGAACTTGCCAGGAAAAACGGTTGACCCAAGGTGCTAAGAGCTCATGTCCATTCATTGACAGTATATCGGCAAATGAATTGTTCTTGGGGTAGACTGCGTAGATAGAAAAGGCTTGTGCGGATCAAAGTGAGGGTGGGTGCTTTTCAGTCAGAGCCTCCACTTTGTGGGCGCCCACCCTCAATCTCATGTGAAATGAATTGCTACACAGGCAAACTCGTCACTGCAACCCCAAACATACATTGTTCGCTCTATCTCAAAGACAATTCGATCTACTACGCAGTATCGATAAAGTCTGTTGAAAGTGCAAGCAGCCCTCACTGCGGGAGTCGTCAGACCCCTGCACCCCTTTCAAGCGGTCAGAGGGGACCCTCAACAAAGCCAGAAAGCCTTCCTCTAGCATCATAGCTGCGTCGGAATTGTGTTGGGTCATATCGCACAACACTTCGTGACTCATTGATCTTGACGGGAAATCAGCACTGTTTGCTTCGCACCAGGTCTTCCAGTTGAACAAAGCTTCACATTGCAAGAGAGCCGTGATCAAAAAACACGTGTTATGTTACCTCTGTCAATTTGGCAAGGAGGGAAAAGATGCAACACAATGGATGGGCTTGAAGCGCATTGCAACAGGGCCTCACCTGAACCCACCAGGTCTGAGGTTTTACCACCACAACGCCGTTTGCAGTCATGGCACCGCTTCTGAATCTTGTAAGCCTTTTTTTCATCCAGCCACGTTGTGACATAGAAGCCAATCCAAAGCCAAACAGTCTGAGCCTTCCTTGGTCTTAACTTCCCGTGGCAATCCGATTGGAGAGCAATCTGTGGGGTCAAAACGAGCTCGCAAGAGAAATGCAGTGAAGTGTCTGAGCTCTGTCAGCAAGATATGGAATCTCTTGTTCTTTGAGGAGCCCCATCCGCACCAGTCCAGAGTAGGGTCCTGGGGCAAGTCTTGCAAAGCAAAGTGATGGAGTGCTCCAAATGCAAAGCAACCGAAGCGGCGCTCCTGCCCCTTGGTTGGCCTGGATGGGAGTGACTTAGCGCTTGATAACTCCGAAAGTGAAGAAGCAGCAAACTCGATGCTCCCTCGCATCTTGCACAACATTGTGCTGACAAGGTCATACAGCATGCTCCCCTGCCGCGCCTCGGGGTTCTCGAAAGTCCCACGGCATTCATCCTCGCCAAATCGAGTGGTAGACGATTGAAAGAAAGAAGCAAGAAATGGAGACGGGATGACACAGCTCAGCTGAGTGCAAACCAAGATTCAAATAGGAGGGCCTGGGACAGGAGTCCAAGCCGTGCCACACACTGAAGCTGCTCCTGGAAGCGAAACAACACCACTTGGTCTAACACACCACAAATGCATCATGCAGTAATGTCCTGTGACGCTCCAGCTGCTGCCAGCAGCAGCAGGATATCCAAAACCTCAGCTTGATATCTAAAACACAGGGCAGGAGCATTGGAGAGAAGGGTTTTTTTCAACTCCGACTCATTGACTCCGCTTTTCGTCAACTCAAAGGACTGAGATTTGGATTTCTTGTCTCGCCCTCCTTGCTGCTCAGTGGCCGCGCCATGCAAACTTCTTAAGAATTCCCTGCCATCGAAGGTATGTCGACTCAAGAACTCAACTCTCCCCACGTCAAACAGATCAATGCAGCGTGCGGTGTTTGGCCTGTGATTCCACCACCTAGAAAGGTTCAACTGCACGAAGAAGCCCATAATGAATGTCACCTTGCGTTCAGTCTGGGAGTGCGGGCTGAACATGGCAAGTCCTTCAAAGAGTATCGACCAAAGTGGCAATAAGAAGGATACGCTGTTGTAAAGCTTCCATCGCAGTGGTATCCATTTTTGATTCGTCATTGGCCCAAGCTACAAGCCTCAGTCGTTCAGGCGAGGAAAAGTGAGGCAAGCCACACCTGAAAGGAATGGAGGAGAAAACCGTCCACGTTGTCCAATTCTGATGACATCCAAACATTTCCAAATCAGCAAGTAGGCCTATTCCAGGACCTATGTTTTCAACCTAGCAAACCAGGCTGACACAGGAATCTCCTCCTGATGATGTTCAGCATTTTGGCATTGATCGAGACCCTACGTGGAGGGTAACGCGTGAACAGCGCGTTCGTTCATTGGACGCCGATGCCACTTAAACAAAAAAACAGTGTCGAAGAGAGACACCACTCTAAGTTCCAAAGAGATACTCACAATGCTTCCACCAATTCTGACCCTTTGTACCACTGAACTAACCAAGATAACCAAGAAACCCACCGGTTGCCAGTGCCAGGGTCAGCGTCAACCCAATGCACGTTGTCAGTGACCATGAGATGCGACAAATGCCGGCGCGAGTAAACAATCCAAGAAGCCTTGGTGGGCAAAATGTTTTCCAGGAGACTATGGTGATCTTTCTCCAAAGCACAAGACTCTTCACAAAACGGCCTGCCGATTTCGTTCTGAGTATGCATGAACTTTGCTGCTTTGGAACCCACCCCACCGACATACTGCGTCGAAGTCATAGCTCACGATCTTGCACTTGCGGTCACCTCAGTGGAATCTAACGCGCAGAGTTGTGGCAGCTTGCTATTCCACCGCAACTAGGTTGGAGGACCATGGCTATTAGGTTGGAGGCCATTCCTATTAGGTTGGAGTCATCGCTCTTAGGTTGGAGGGCATCGCTCTTAGCAGGCCCTCGCTTGTTCCTATATAAGTAGTTTTAGGCAAAAACCTCTCCGACCCATATGACTCACGTGTGATGGCTTGAGCAGCTGGCGTTGATCCCCATGTTCGTTGTTGTGAACGAACGTGCTGAACATACCTCCGCCAGGACTTGGATGGAGACACAAAACGGACGAACCGCCCACGAAGAAGCCACTGATCTGTTACTCTCTGTTACTCTTGCAACTCATCCTGCAGTCGTTCTGAAAAGAGTCGCTGTAAAATTAGGGTAGATCATGGTAGATCTTGCAGTAATCACCAGTCTCATTCCTCAGTCATTCTTGTCATGTCTGTGACGCGACGCTCAGCGCCTTCCGAGTGCCTCAGCGGCCCCATCCACAGCCTCGGCGCCTGGAAAGAACGGCCGCTGGACAGGGCGACTTGAAAACGGGTTCTCCACGGGCGTTGCACCGAGTTTCACCGGTGTTTCCCCGGCGGATCCTTCCGTCACCGGTGCTCCGAACGCTCCGAACGCTAGGTAAGAAGGACCGGTCATGGCCTGATCGGCCATACCTGCACTGGCGCTCTCATCTGCCACTTCCGGCCTGGCAAGTGAAGTAACACATCATGTTCATATATGTTCATCTAATCATGTTCATGTCATGTTGTTCCTCCTTCAAGTGGAAGTTCTCTCATCATATCTGTCATATCTCATCATTCCGTGCTGCCGCACCTCTCTGCCAAAAGTGACTGCCCAGCATAGCTCGCATAGGGCGCTTGAGGCAGGCTCCGGCTAGACCATGGCATCAGGGGCGAGTTCTACGTGTTGTTCGTGGTTTTGCGGACGTTCAACAGCTCTCAAAATGAAGATATGCGCCCAACTACTGGAGTTTTCACTGGTACTTTTCTAGTGGAGACCTTTTGGGGAGTCTCCTTGTCTCGACCTTACTCAAATCTTCACAAGCGCTTCTTCGAGTCTTCGGTGATTCTTCGTGTGCGCACGTCTTCGATTTTTGCGGCTTCGCCGGTCTTTCAGGTCTTTCCGAAACCCTGCGTTCATCGAACTTGGAGCAGTCGTAGCATACCAGTCGTGTGCATTCCAGTCGTGCGTTCTTTCTCCAGTAAAAAACTCGGTGCTCGGTCCCTCAGTTAAGTGGCACACTGACTTGGCCACCTGCAAGGCACCTTTGGGACCAAGATCCTGACAGGAACAGGACTCACAGCTTGTGAGGTCGGAACAGGATTACCAACCAGAGAAACGGTTTGCACTCGGTTGCACTCGGTTGCACTCCTCCCGAAGCTTCTTGCTTCCTGGAACCTGGGTGATTAGATTCAAGTGGTTCTTTGGATGAATTCACTCTGTTCACCGAAGGATGTGTCTGGCTGAGTAGGCGAAGTAGGCGGCTCTGTGCAGTCGGGTTCGTGCTTCCAACTCCGAGGCTGGCACGGTCAACAGCGAAGCCTGAGGCAGTTCCATTCGTACACATCTCCCCTAAGACCCTGGTGGTCTTCAATTCGGTCTCTAGGTCTTAGCTCTGGACTAAAGCACTGCTGAAGATGGGCAGGAGGTGTGAAGGTGGTGGTGAATCAGTGGGTTCGCCTTGTGCTTTCGCACGGTGAAAACTCATCACATGGCCAAAAAACAAAAACCACCGTTTGCTGTGAAAAAAAAATGTTTTGCTTTGCACAGATGTTCGGAGCCGAGCAGCTGCCCTTGGCGGCATCTTCTATCCTCTGTGCCTTGGCAAATGCATTGTTGTTTAGTATTTTTTTGAATAGGCGAGACGCACCAAGCTCAAACAACATTAAGTTCAATCGTTTCCAGCTCGATAGCGTTTAGACTTCTAAGGCCCTGACCAATTCCTGTGGCAAGGGCCTGGCATGACTTGCTACTTCTATAGCTCCAGGCCTGTGTATCATTGTGTATCCACCCACCCCCAGTGCAACCGGGGCCTGGAAAATGAAGTCGACAAGGGAAGCCATTTTGTTCTCGAACTGCTCTTCCCTCCTTAGAAAAAACAATCGCACCATCGAGCTACCGATGACCGACTGCACTGCCCCATGCCCGTTGTGAAATTGTGCAGTAGGTCCAGCATAACTTGTTCAACAAAAGGGAATCCCTCAGTGTAGCAAGACAACGAAACTGATTGAGACACTGACTCTGCAAGCCTTGCACTGCAAGACCATAAGGGTCTGCCTGATGCAGTTTTCCATCGAATCTAGAAAGAGATGCCCATCTGTTTGGAATACTTTCACATTTGCCCTTCTCTTCGCTGTCCCTCCACCACGTTCTTTTCAACATGACCCTGTCTTGTTCTTGCAAGATTCGGTCTCACGGTTGCTTGCATCGACACAATAAACAGCCCACTGAACTACGTAGACTAAGGCAGGCATGTCAAAGTGTGTAATGAGAAAGGCATGCAAATGACCACTTCACAAGGAGAAAGTGAGAATCGAAATGCCTTCGTCCCATTTACCAACTGTTGGTTCACCCGAAGGTTGCCGGTCTTCACACCCAAAGCTGACCATAAAGCTAACGCTCAGCCGCCAGTTTCAATGGTGGGTGGCAACTTCGACCAAGCGTTTGCAAAAGGATTTAGTTCATCGAAATGCCGGTGATGTGTTTAAGTATAGATTGCATTACTGACACCAAGACTGAACAAAAAAGCAACCAACACCAGTGGAGCTTATTGAAATTGAAAAAGACTATAAACTATGAGATCAATCTCTGTTCAACGCTGATTTATGTGCCCCATTGCAGGTCTAAGTGTGTTGTGCTTCCCTTTCAACAAACAGAAAGAGTTGGTTGAGATCTCGCCTCAGCATGCTCACAAAGCATGAAAAGCAGCAACTGCTGCAGGATGGGGCTGTCCAAACCTCACGTCGCTGCGTCACTCGCCGGGACAGGTGGCTGCAACATCTGTAAACAGCTCTCCGCTTCGCAAAGCTTGTTGCCAACAAAAAGATTGACCCTTGTTCTTCTGATCTTTCTAGTGCTTTTCATTTCTCTGTGAGCACGGCCATTCTCCTTGCAGTGGTCAATGAGTCCACAGAGCCAATGTAACTCCATGGTCTCCACCTGACAGAAACTCCCCAAAGGTTCTCGGATGGCCGACCATCTGATAGATGAACTCGGTGGAGGGCATGGACCTCACCATCCTGATCTCATGAGGCCAAATCCAGTGACTCCTACAGCTCCCAGATCCACACCCAACCAGTTGTGGAGGATTCCTCGCCTCCTGCAGCTTCTGCCGTGGCCATTCCGCTTCGTTCGGCAGGGCTCGGCTGAGGTACCTGGCGCGGTCCACACAACGGAGGTCCGACCTTTCATAGGGCAGGGGGTCGAAGCACACATCCACCAACGACAGTATAAGGAAAGGCAGGAAGGAATCCACGAAGAGAACCTGGAAATTGGTACCTGGTTCTCTTGCGCTGTGGTACCTGGTTTTGGTGCATGACCCCAAAGCAACCTCAAAGATGATTGCTGGGGGATGCTTGGGGGATGTTCCTTGGAGGTTTGTGGCACTCATCTTCAACTTTGAGACACATTGATTTGAGTTTACTGTAAGGGTCCTTTTTACTGATGGCAAATCACCTGGAATGTGAACAAGCTTCACAACCAAACCCCTACATGAAACACAACCGATCTCGGACCATTCGGACCCACGAGACCCGCCTCAAGCCACGCAGGCTGTATGCCTGTCTCCATGAAGGACATGAAGGCATTGAACGATAAAGCTGATTTGTAAGCGGATTTGTATGCATCTTGGAAGGCATATTTAATTAGGCATCCCTGGATAGGTGGTGTTCTTCGGGGTAACCACCCCGAAAAGCACAGAAGTGCTAAGTACCGGACGAAGGACGCAGCAGCGCCCCAGGTTGCGAGCTTTTCCACCGACCTGAAGTCATCAGTGTGCTTAAACACTTGGCCCCATGATGCAACTCCAACAAGGAAAGGAATGCTCAACGCTGGATGTGTTTCGCGTGTTGCATTCATGTCTTGACGCTAAACGACCACGAAGTCTTCTTTGTGCAAAGGCAAGGCAAGAGAAGGAAGCAATAATAATGATTCTGAAAAGTCTTGAAGCCATTGGAGATCAAGTTTGTTTTTATTCTTTCTCTGGATGGTTCCACTTCTCTTGTCTTGCGAGGTGGGAGCGGCCCCTGTCTGATGCTTCAGTAGCACAACATTTGTCTTATCTCCCTTCAATCACAACCCTCAATACAATATAGGTCTGATAGTACCTCTGCTGAAGCATGTGAAACACGATCTTCGGACCAGCACTGCGGATGTCGTGGCTGGTCGTGTCAGTCTCACCGATTTCAAGCCAGGCTGGTCTCTTCAGCTCCCAATCCGCTTGGGTCCACCTTAGAGAGAACTCGACAAGACTCAATGTGGATAAACAGCTGCTTGCAAGACCTCCATAGAAAAAAGGATGAAAATGAGATGAACTGAGCTAGATCTGCAGTAAACTAGCGGAGTCAAACGATATTTTTTTTATAGACCGTCAAATCTTTCACCCGCACTGATTGCAAGGAGGAGCACATAGACTTTGAATTGGACTCTTTGGCCTTCACTTAGCTCTTCCAAACCTACCAAGAACAGGGTCCAACTCTGGCAGGATTCCTCGGTCTGTTTGTGTGTATGCGGGAGTCTCACGTTTTGGAGTACGAAAGAGTGATACGACTGAGTGACTGGTTGTAGGCCAAACTGATGGTCATGTTGCTTCTAGGCCAAAGTTCAGTGAGTCGAGTGACTACATACTGAAGACAATCAGTCGCTGCATGCGTTTCACATCGAAGTCAGCAGAATCCCCATCCGGCCTGACAAGTCCTGCTTGGAAACCCAAATCTTTCCATCTGACAGGGATGAGAGTTGGATATCCCTCATGGCAGCTTGAAAAATCGGAAGTTGTGCGCTGAAGCACAAAGCAACACTGGGCCTCTGTACTTTGCCCATTCGTGGTCGATCGGAGAGTCTGGCTTTATCCATCCAAACTTTCCCTTCCTTCGTGGCACAGGTTTGCTTGCTTCAGCTTGGGTGATTGCACGCAAAAAGGCGGTGCTTGGTGGTGCTAAGGCCCCATCCACTCTATGACACTGCCGGTCACAAAATCTGTGGTCACCGCTTCCCGGAACATTGCTGTGCCACCATTCTGCAGAAAGTTCTTCATCATTTCCATCATGTAGCCCTCAGAAGAGCTCAAACGTACGCAGCTCTTTGCATCATCCCCGAGAACAACCCCCTGCCCGGTATGGAAATGCGATACAGTTATGTAATCACCGATGCGCATAGCTGCTCTGGCTGACTTACATCCTCCTTTCTGCAGCCAAGGTTCCCAACCTTTCTTACCGACGGGTACTTTGGCACCTTGCTTGTTCTTGACCGTCATGGCCTGGCCCAGGGCCTCTAAAACATCCTCTGATTGACTGAGCAAAATGGACAGGGTCAAACACTTCTGGTACCTCTGGTAGCCCCATGGTCAAGGCAAAATGAACAAAACCGGCAAATGCTCGTCATCTGGAACCCTACCACATCCAGTTTTGCACACAAAAGGTGTCCTCGGCCATAAGGACAGGATCAGTCTTGATGTCCTTCCAAAACCATGGCTCACAAACAACCAGTGACATGGATCCCATGGGTCATTGCTTATCACGGCTCCTTGAGTGCTTGTTCCGCGGCACTCCTCAGAAATGCACTCGGTCAAACAGGAAAACGAAAGCCAGCGAGTGCTTGCATCTGCTGGCTTTGTCAGTCAACCAGCCAACCGTCCAACCATCCACATCAACATCTGTACTGTAAGTGTTTTTCATTTATAAACTCTGCCTGCCAAGTTCCTTTTCCCGAGGCGTTTGCGAATGATGTTTCTGCAGAAAAGGTTTGCATTACAGTTGAGAATTATATATATATATAGTATTCCAAATTATTTAGATCTAAATAGAAAAATATTTCAAAAATCAGGCTACTTAAATTTGACTCCAACTATATACGTATATTTTTAAAAACGAAGGTGGAAGTTGCATGAAGTTGCCAAAGCCTGTAACAGTCCTCGAAAACGCAGGCTGCAGTTGCCAAGGTATGGAACTGCTGTCGAAACCGCACGTTGAAGTTGCCAAAATGTGTAGCTGTCGTCGAAAGCGGTGATTTTATTATAGTACAAATGTGGCACAGCAGCGGCTTCTGGGAGGTGTGGTGTTAGAACTGGCAACTTTGTAGTACAGATGTAGTGGGGGAAGCAGCTTCTGCAGAGCTGGAAACTTTGTGGTGCAAATGGTGCGGGGAGCAGCTTCTGGGAAGCTCGGGACCGGTAGTACAAGTTACAAAGGTAGTGTGAGAAGCAGCTTCTGGAGCTTGTCCTAAAAACTGGCAACTGCCTCACTACCGCCACTCTGTAGATGTTGTGTCTAGTCTAGTCTGTGGCACACCGTGCGGCAAAATTATGTCTGTGATGTCGCTGGGCATGTGGATTGGTGTGGCCTTGGTTAAAGGTGGGTTTGCGTGAGCTCTGGCACTGGGGGGAGGGAATCACGATGGCGTAAACACGGATGATTTGTGGTGCCCATAGCGCATGGTGTTACACAGTTGTATCCAGTCTGTGGCACACCGTGTGGCGATAATTACGTCCGTCGTCGCTGTGCCATGCGGATTTGTGCAGCCTCGGTGGAAAGTGCGAGTGCCTGAGTCCGTGCCATTGGGGGGAGGGAGACATGATGGCGTAAACGCGGCGTGTCGCTGGGGAGCTGGATTATTGGCGGTGTCCACGAGGCTTGGTGTACGCACCTGCGGACGTGCGACTAGTAAAATGATCTGGGATCCACACGCGTCGCTACAAAGTCCATAGAGACATCCTGAAGAACAACAGAACTTATATTTAGCACGTGTTTCAACGCTCCCGGGCCATTCCTCGTCTAGTTCTCTGTTTCCACACCCTTTGCCGCCGAGCCACTGCTCCGCTTTTTGTCGTGTGGCACACAATTCGCCCGCCCAAGCCCGTTGTGCCCACTCGTCCGGCAAGGCGACGCTCTGCACCGTGGCCTCGCGTCGCGTCGTCTTCCGGTCGCCCTCGGGCGGCGAAGAACCGGCGCGACAAGACCGGTCACCGCGGCCTGATACTGATTTCCAATCCTGAGCGAGGAAATCAAACGGACTCAGCTGAGTTGGTGGTTGGTGGATGTTGCTGCTAAGGATCCTGTTGGACACGTAAATAGTTTCACCTTTGGCCAAGACCTCAGGATCCCAAAATGCTCCTCCTCCAGGTTCCCCTATGGGCCTACGAAATCCGCTTCACACCAACTGCTTTGAGAACTGACCACGGCATAAGGACTTTGAGAACTGAAACAAAAACGCAACTGATGAGCAGGCCAAGTGGCTTTCTTGGCAATCTTGCCAATTAAGGAGTTCAACTCAGTCTTTGGAGTCAAGGCAGGATTTTCTTCCATTCGTGCTCTCTTGTCCGCCATGTCCTTCACCACCCGCAACACACGCTTTGGTCTGAAAGAATCAAGCTGAATGAGTCGAATCAGTCCAGGATCTGAGTATAGGACAACCCAAAATCACAGCTTTGGTCCATCTGTCCCAATCACATGTCCGGTCCTCGGCTGCAGATTTGGGTGCTGGTCTCTTTCCACTGCCCGCCTCCTGCGAGACCATCGGAATGGAATGCCGACCGGGAGACTTGGAACCCGGAGAAGATGTGTGGTGATCAAATTAAAATCGAACCAATAAGCTTCTTTTGCATCCGGAAAAATCGGTAAAACGCTGTAAAACCCGTCACCTCTCGTTTTGTGGCCCATCTACCCCTGGCGGTGTCTCCGGCCTTGAGAGCCTGCACCAAATGAGCGTTCGCCTGCGCTCCGAGCTCCGGAGCAGGAGCAGCGATGTTCTCGGTTTGAGGTCAACATGCGTCCACATATTTCCACATTACTAGTAGCGTCCTTGCTCCTAGTAGTGAGGCCAGGAGCCCCTTAGTAGCTCTTGTTGCTAGTAGTACGGCCAGGAGCCCCTAGTAGCTTCTTGTTACTAGTAGCCAGGAGCCCCTAGTAGCTTCTTGTCAATATGTGTCCACACCCTGGAAGTGGAATCTTCAAAGATTTGTATCCTTGACGATCTTGGATTTTCAGACACGAGCTGTCAGTCTTTAGATGTCTTTAGCCAAACCGTGGCGTGGTGTCAGTGTCGGTTAGCTTCCTCTCACCAAAGTGGCAAGACCAAGTTCACGGTTCTTGACCAGTTCTGATGAACCATAGTGACTAGTGACTAGTGGACATCCGGCTTTCCCAACTTCTCACCAAGTTCAAGAGGATACCAAATGACCATGAGATTGGATCAAACATGATCAAACCGCGTCCCACACGTCTCACACCTGCAAAGCTTGCTCTGCCGCCGACTTTTCGGCGCTCTTTTGGTCTAAGCACAAGTGACCCGCGTACTCTTGGCCTCAGTGCCCGTGTACTCTGTGCGCTCTTCCAAACTCAACCTGTTGGGGTGGCAAAGGATCAAAGAGACCAACATCAACCAACTACCCATGAAGCATGGGTGCCCATGGGTGCCCATGGATGCCCATGGTCATGGGCACACGCAGTGTACTCATGGGATCTCATGGGTCAAACTTTGAGCAGCAATACAGACTTGGGAGAAAGTGACTCTGGCAAAAGGAAAGTCCGGGATGGATGATCGATTTCTGGGTCTGTCTTTTGACCGTCCCATCCATTTGACCGCTCTTGACCAGCAAGGCCCAGAAAAGGCTCAGAAAAGGCCCTGAAAAGGCCTCAAGCTAGGAGTCAGACCATCCATGCAATGTAGTTTTACAATGGCCTGTTGTTGGTGTCCATATCTGTTGATGGTGTACTCCTTGGCTGCAAAAAAAACCTGTCCAATTGACCTGGTCAGAGTGGCTCAGGAATCGGTCGAGCCATTGGTGCACGCCGTGGAGAAAAGCAATCGGTGCTTTCCGTCGCAGAATCCCTCTGAGCTGCTTGCAATGTCATTCTTGCCCAACGGTCTCTTGGTATGTTTCTGCAAGAACCTCACAAAAACAAGGGATGAGAACAGTTGAGAAGCAAGAGCATCCCAGGCTTTCATCTTTCACTTCATTGTATTGCGACTTCATCTTTCACTAGAAAACGAGGCCAGTGCTGGTTCAGCTCAGACTTAAAATCTGGCATCGGTTGCATCGGTTGTGTGCCCGGCATGCTCAACATCTTGGCCTTGGAGAAGGGCTTGGAGAATCGACCGATCCAGACCTCCTCTCTCTCTCTCTCTCTCGCGCTTCTGCCGAGCGAATTCCGAGGTAACACTCTGAATGAAAATGCTTCTTTGGAAGACTATGAAAGATAATGGTCCTCTACAAAGAACTGTCCACTTCCGATTCCACACAAATCACTCTACGATCTGCAACGAAAAACATCGAACGTGTGAGGTGGCAGCTAGGGAGAGCTGCAAGCTCCGAAGGGCCACCCCATAGATTTGACCCCGAGCTGCGGAAGAAAGCACAGCTATATAGGCCGCTGGGCCTTTCACATGTTATGTTGAGTGCAGCTTTCCTTACATGATTACATGTAAACCCTAGGAATGAAGAGACTACATCTTCAAATGACCCTTGCGGCTCTTTTCCCAAATGGCTGGAGGGCGGCCAACATCTGCTTGATCAGCGGGATGAAAAGCCAGGATTCACCTCTGCATCCGCCCTTAGTTTCTGCGGGAAAGACAAAGACATTGACCCGGTCTCGAGCTGGGTTTGAAAACGGACATCACGTGGTGATTTGGCCATGGCTCTGCACTTGGTAGGAGACGTCAACAAATGCCTCAAGATCCAGATGTTAGATGGTGTCTTTCTTTTCCAAAGACCAGATCGGGAATCTCACAGAACTATATAGTAACTTACAACTATAGTTGCATCTTACAGAACCCACCATCTGACTGTCCTTCAAGAGACTCCTTCAACCGATATCCATGTCATCAAAAAGTGTCTCTCGGCGCTTCGGTGGGACCGACACCGAAGCACCGACGGAGAATCGCGGCTGTGGCTCGGACCGACACAGTGGCTCGGCGTCTTCGGCTGGGCAACATCAGCCTTCCAACGGATCGATCGGCGTGGGCGGCCCACCCTGTGGCCCGGGCGGCCCACCCTGTGGCCGCCTGGTCTACCCTGAAGAAGCTATGGGCTTAAGCGGCTTAAGGTTCAATGGCGACAGGGTTGACAGGCTATGGCGGCCTATGGCCGTCGCTATGGCCGCTAGACAGTCGCTGGTCTACCCTGGGCTTAAGGTTACGATGATCATTAAATGGCGACAGTGTCTAGCCCACGACAAGATCTGCTCCATGTCTGCAATATCCAATGCAAATCTCACGTGGGCCTCCATACTTCACACTGTGCAAATCCGTCCGCGTTACCAAGTGCAGTAGCTTTGGCTAGTTGAGTTGCCTGCTTTGTTCTAGAATTCTAGAATAAAACATGGCCTGGTGGAAAGGGTTTGGCATTACTTGATGATGCAATAAATGTTGTAAAGATAAGTAGCATGTCTCGCATCATGGTCGTCTTTGGGAGTGTCCATCAAGTTCGGTTCAGGAGCAATTTGTGGGTGTAGGAATGGATGGATGGATTATTGCGTGGCTACAACAAGCCGTAATCCAATGATACATTTATTATCATTTATTGGATGTTATCGTTTGGTGCATTTTGTTGTGGATGTCTTTAAAAGGCATGGCCAAGGAACAGCTCCATCTCCAGGGCGGGCAAAACCGAAGAGGTTTGACCCTGTAGAAAGTTCCAGGTGAAGACGTGCTCTCCCTTCAGGGGCACACGATTCTACAGGACTGTAGCGTTGAAAGCTGGAAACAAGTAGTAACAGGTCACATGATAGGTCACTTAGAATCAATGCCGACTCTGAAAATAAGGGCTGTGCCAAGCACCAATGAGCTTTCAACTAGGCTGCCTTTGATCCACGCCTTGGCAAGCAGCGAGACCCGGGACATCCGCGAGGCGCTCGAGGGGCAGCCGTAGTCGCCACGCCCGGCGGTGCACTGACGTAACTTCACGCAACGTACTTCCTCTGGCTTGCACCTGAGATGGGTGTAATGCATGTGCCTCGAAATCCGTCCCATCCCTGAGAATCTGCGCAGTCTCCAAAAAAAGACACCAAACACATGCGAAAACCGTTCGCGCGTCAACCTGTCGAGTCATCTTCGCACGTTGCTTCGTCCGTTGCTCCGTTTGAAAGAGTTCGATCTTTGTAGCCAAAGTGCACGCCTACCACACCAATGAGAGCCTGACCCACCGTACAGCTGGAACAAGACGAGACCCAGGGAGTGCTGGAGTCACCATCGAAGGCGTTCGCTTCTCCATAGCCACTCTCGGAGCCTGCGAGGATTCCAGTGTTCCGTCCCCCTCTCAGGTTGTGGGCATGTTGGTTTCAACCCAAACCAGCGTGTACGTTCACCTCATTGCAGGTCGGATTGAAACAAAATGAGTTTCTTCCAAGACATGCAGTCTTTGGTTGCAGTCCCTGCCTGAAAGGCCGGGCTGTGCAAAGAGCATTGCAGTGTCGGAGCAATCCGGCAAGCGATGAAAGCTCAAATCTGGGATGCCCCAGGCATAAGTTGAAGCAGCTGCATTCTGAAGAAACAACGTGTCCTTAAAACACGAAAACAATGGTTGCATCCAAACACTCCCTGCTAGAGAAAGAAACGGATAACATGGACACTTCATGGAAACACACAAGTTCTGTCTTTATATAGCTGAGAATCAGTAGCTGAAACATCACAAATCTCAAGGCCTGCTTTGGTGCCGGTCAGGATGAACATTCGTTCGAACCATGTTTTAACCGCAGGCGATGCTCACAAAAAGACTCGGCTCCATGTCTCCATGTCGTGGTTTCTAAACCGTGAAGAACGTGCCTGCACCATCAGGTCGCAAACCCAGATTGGATTCGGAATGAACAAACAGATGCGTCAAGCTGTTGTTCACGGCAGTTCCAGCAGGCACCTCGGTTTTCCGACACGTTGCACCTTAACAGAACCGATCTGTGGAGGGGTGCACACACGGTGTACATACCCGACCTTCCGACCTTCTCAAGCTTGACAAGATACTGCCAGCAAGTTTGTCCCCACCAGCACAGAACCTGGCGGGACACTGAGACTCACCACACGTCACACAAAGGTTCAAGACAAAAAGAACACATGCTCACCTTGCAGAATTGTCATGAAAATTGGATTTTTGAGACCCTTCGAACCTGTGCATGGACCGCCGTACAAATCTCTTGGGACCTCAAAAAAGCAACTGCGGGTCTCCCCCAGCCTAATGTCACGCGGCCAGTGCTGGATCCAGCACTGTCTGCCAAATACACCGTGTAGCCGATCACTTCACTTAAAACTGTCGGCGGCACCTCAGCAGCTGTGGCTGGTCGACATGAGTCGAAGCTTTTTGGGCACAGCGCATGGCGCGGCACGGACGAGCTATGCAGCCAGACCCACGTCAAGGTTGCTCCCACAGAGCCAGCGACGAGGTCCTGCAAAGGCTTGGTCCACCGCCATTGGAAGGGGACAAACACACGCACGCAGATCAGATCATGGGGTAGTGTCTTCTACTTTCGACTGAGAGCCATCTGAGGTAGAGGTAGTGAATTGATCCATTCACTTTGCCCAAAGCAGGGTATTAAGCCTTCAGTACCAAACATAAAGAAAACATAGTTGTCAGTTATGCAAAGGAAAGGTAGACCTCAAAAAAAGCAAAACAGCGTTTTGCATGATCACCGGGCTATTTGTCTTGAACAAAAAAGAACACACCTAGAACGGGACGGCACCGAGGAACGATGCGTCGTCACGCGTCGTCGCGGCACGTCCGTGTCGAAGAAATCCAGGTCGGTGACCAACGGCACCCCGTAGAGCCGTCGGTCGGCGGCCTCACGGTCGTGGTCGTCGCGTGGCGCGGTTTCCAACATCGGGGATGGGGTCGTTTGGGGACACGCGTTCGGTTTCAGGAGACCCCCCGTGTTCGGAGAGTTGGAAGACAGCGAAGATGGATGAAGACGTGCTAGTTGAGACTCGTTGAGATGGCACTTGGACGTCTTCCGTTTTTTGTTTGGCTAAGAGGCACTGGGTTCTGAAGAGACTGCCCCACATGAGAGGAGATAGACTATAGATCTCATGCCACTTCATTGCCCGGAAGAGCGCAAACGGCGTGTGGCTAGTACAGCAGCGATTGAAAGCAGTTTCAAATGCATCTTCAGTTGGCTGAATGCTTCTAGTGGAGGTTGAGTGGGGGTGTTGCTGTTGGTGTTAGAATTGCTGACTTATACTATCACAAGGCTTGCAATTCAAAGTTCTATGTTCCCCTTGAGAATCAAAGGCTGCAGCGAGTGTAGTGTTAATTTGGCCATGTCACTATTGGAGGAAGTTGCACTCTCACGCATCAAAATGTTGCTTGGGTGGTGGCTCTTCTCTTCCTTGCGCCCAACAGCATCCTTATCACTCACCGGTCATTCTCCAGAATCAACATGCTGTATAGGGGGCGGCATTGCAACAAGCCAAGTTGAGCGCAGAGTTGGATAATGTCTTTCGAGATAGCTGTTTGTTCGACCAAACATATATATAAATATAGTGAGAGAGAGAGAGAGAGTAGAACCGGACTGTCTGAACCATTCCGCTTGCCGTCTGGACCCTTCCAGCAAGGAAACGCAAAGGAACTCAACTCTTCAAAGCAAGCCTGTGTTGCAAGTTTCGGGATCTTTTCCCTCTCATCAGGAGTAAAAGGGGTTTTGCTGTCTTCAGGCACACCAACCGAACAACTTGTCTTCCTCACAAGCTCTGAGCACTACTGAGCAGTGGACCATATCCCGCACCAAAGATAATCGCTGAACCCTGCCAATGATTCAATGGCCAACACTGCTTTGTTGCTATGCCCGCTACACCCGCAACGCCCGAGGCTCCAGCGGATGCTCGCTGCAGCAACTGAAGAGATCTTCCCAGTGAACGGAACATGGCGAGAAGCTGGCGCTTGGCCCCAACAAGTCCAAGCTTCACTTGTGACTGTGGCTCTTTGATGTGGAGTCCCCTGTGACTCTTTGATGTCTGACAATGCTTGACTCCCTGTCTAGCCTGTTGGAAATTTTGCCTCACCCCCTTCACAACTCACCTGTAGGCCACAAAACAAAGGACATGGATGCCAAGTCTCTCCAACAAGATTGCGACCCAAAACGTCAAGTGTTGACCTTGTCACGCATCTTGACACTCCATAAGGCACAGCGCGTGTTTTTTTCCCTGGAGGTCTCACAGGAGTGTTTGAGGAGGCCCACTCCATTCACAGAAAGGGAGCGCGGCCATTCTCGCAGCCGTCGCGTTTTTTGAGGTTGCTTGGCCGGTTGTACGGTTCTCTGATTGTCTTTATTGGTAGTTCAGAGATGTGCTCTGTGGTCACTGAAGCAACTCTCAAGCCCTGTACAGAAAGGCTGGGATCCAAGTCAAGGCTGTTTTGCTGAGCAAGATCTGCTGAACAGAAAGCACCCAACAACACCAGTTTGTCCTTCCAAAACACACCTAGTTCTTTTGTCTTTACCAAGAAGATCTAGAATGTCAGATTGCCCTGTTGTCATGAGAGCTCAAGACCTTGGTTGTCCAAGGTTTGCAGTGGAATCAAACACTTCACTTCACACACGACACGGTCGCCCTGCTTCTGAGAGGGCGACCATGTCACGGCCTGCTTCTGTCCTCCAGTCTTCAGAGCCTGGCAAGCCCACAATGAAAGGAAAGAGTCGGCAGTCTGGTTTGTAGGAGCCTCGGTCAGTTCATTTTGAGAGGTGAGCACAGGTAAGCTGCATTTTGAACTGAGTGGTGATTTTGGTTAGAATCTTGTAGAAACGTCTTCATCGCAACCTTCAGTGTCGGTTCTTTGACGCAACTAGCTACCAGTCCAACAGTGTCAACACAAAGGCCTCAAGCTCGAGTTCCCAAAGGGGGCTCATCTCTCGGAGTCTTCTCACCTGTCAACAGCAAGGCGCACTGCAGCATGCGATACGTGACACCCGCACTAAACCAGACTGCCTCCCTCACGACATCATTCACGGTGTTGTCCTTGGCACAAATGTTTGGGCCCCTTGGGCCAGGTATTTATTTGGTCTTTGGCCTTTCTTCAAAAACATCGAGATCGCGCGCGCACGGTTTCATCTGCAAATGCTCTAGCCGAGGCACCACTTCCGCCTCAGTGGTAAAGCGGCCAATGCCAAAGCGCAGCGACCTCGGATGCATGCGAATGCGAATGTGCTGCAAAAATGTAAGAAATGCTAAGGGAGTCAATTAGCATAACTAGCATTAGCACAACTAACCTGTCTAACCTCCATGAACTCAACAACTACATTTTTGGTATACTGCATGCAACTTCCACTCCTGGGTTCCTAAGCGTGTGCGCGAGGTCCTCGGACACTCCAATGGCTCGCAGGACGTAGGACCTCCAACATGAGGTCCCAATGAGATTGGACTTCACAAAAAGAAATATGAGACACGACAAGATCAGCTATATATTGGAGAAAATGCACAAGCTGTGAAACCTTAATCGTCCAAAACAACAGCATTGCACTTTCTGTAGATCAACCTTCACTCTTGGCACCCTGCGGCTCAAGTGATGCGCTGGTGCAAGCAGAGCCACTGGACACTGCAGTAGTCTTGGCAAGTGACCTTAAATGCCACGCAAGATCTTCAAACATTGCTTCCGGAAGTCTTGGGATGTTGGTCCGGCAAAACCTTGGCGTCCTACATGAGGAGGCTTTCACCCTCCACGCAGGCGAACGACAAGTTCACATTGCCAGGCCACCTGAAGCATCAACAAATTGCTGCTTTTTGACCTATGAAAGATGGTCCATCCTGTCTCCTGTGACCCGACTTTGATCTGTCAAATGATTCTGTGAGTCAAAGCCCCCCAATTGCACCCTGAAACGACAAATAGATAGAATAAGGCCTCAGTGTGTTTCGGATTTGACCCAGGCCTCTGCGAAGGTGATCCATTCAAAGTGATCTGCGGCAACTCTTCAGTGATTTTGTCATGCATGCGCTTATACCTCGGCCATAAAATGAGTTGTGCTTGGCATGTAGCATCATCAGTTGTGGTAGTAACTCAAGTTCTGCACCAAGCTCAAGACAGCTTCTGTACATGCCTGGTGTCATTGTCCATCTCTTGCATGCAAACCTGTTTCAGCGCATCATATCGCATTGAACCGCAAATAATAACTTGGCCATCTTTGACCACCAAAACCTGTTTGTCATGGTCTTGAAGTTTAACCCACATTGCAAAACTTGGGAGCCACAAAGCCACCCACAAGAGAAGAACGATGAGTTCATGGAATTGAATTGAAGGCTTTGGGCCCAACAAACCTCTTCAGCAACCGCCCAACCGGAATTCCCACCGGCTCACCTCGGCTGCTGCTCCAAAACCGACGATGGGAGGAGTGGCCAATGTGCCGCTGCGCATGCCACGCTCCTGTTCTATGGTGGGTGGCTCTGAAGTTTTACCATTCATGGAGTCTTGGTGAACCACAAGCAGGTGGACCCAAATCAATCAATTCCCTAGTTGATACGGTCAACCCCTTGCGATTCATGTAATTCATGTCCATTTTAATCCGCGGTGGCATGGAGGGATTGACACCCGCGGCACCTGTTTGGTTTCTTGGCTTGGGATTATGGTGGCGGTTTGGTCGCTTGGGTCATTGCTGCTTCCCTTGTTCATATGCGTTGTCATGTTCTTTCAATAATGTCCATGTGTTAATCCTAATAGAATGAATGTTCAAGACAACGGCAACAAGATCTTTGAACTGGTGAAACTGCTCAAACCATGTTGAAATGAATCAACATGTATTCCTTTAAGAACAAGTATACAATCCTGTAGATATTTCCTTCAGGGCATATACATCGTGCATCCGCACTGGTGGTGGAGCTGCAGTTTTTGTGTGGCTTAGAGCTGCTACGCAGTTCTTCGTGGCGCTTCGATTATCTCACTAAACCTACCATCACCACCTAGGCGTCTGCCCTTGAAAGGGGCTTAAGGTCGTTTAGTGGAAAATTATCGCAAGCGGCTTCTGCAATCCATCAACATGGCCAAAAAGACAAGCACATGCTGTGAAGATGCAGTTGAAACATGTTGAAACACCTATTTCGAGGATAGTCTCCTGACCCCCACCGTCAATGACCGGGCGCAGGCGAACCTCAGCTGTACCGCGAAGCTGGGTGGTTTAGATAAGGATTCAACCCATGCACGTCTAGGACCCTATAGGCCCTAGGAAACAAGGGCTTCCACAATAGTTTGTGAGAGGAACTCTTCTTGTCAAAGCAAGGACTGCACAAGCTCTCGCTGCTGGGGTGCCGTACTCTTGGCTTTCGTCGAACATACAAAGCGCCAACCCCTTTTGGGCCGTACATCTTGTGAGCTGAGATAGACCTGCCAAAGCAGGTCACAAGACGTACGAAGACCCTTCATGCAGACCGTGCAACACAAAGAAACGAAGGCACCAACGGGCCGGATCCTGAGGCAGCTGCATCAAAGCTGCACCAACGTGCTTGACATCCACTGGCACCTAGCTGTTCACGAACGCAGTGCATACACGAAGACACAAGGTTCAAGTGCCATGTTTGAGCTCGCCTTGCCAACACTCTGAGCCGCATCTGTGTGAAAAAACACCTTCAAAGCCGCGTGACATGTCGGACAACATGCGCTTGACTGGGTTTCTTCTCTGCAAATACAAGCATTGACAGATCCAAGCAATATATGCAAAAGGATTTGCCCAACAATCAGAAGCAAGAAACACCAGAAGTATGCAAAACTGCACCAAGAAAACTGACCTGTTAGTAGTTTGCGATATTTTTTCCACAGCTTGCTCTGCCAGGCCCTGCCCCGGCTCTGCCTGCTTCTTGGCACAAATACGTCCAATCTCTTCCACTGGCTGCATGGTGCCAATCTCATTGTTGATGTGCATCACTGAGACCTGAGCGACCCCCGTTACCCCGTTTTGGTCGGGCCCGTTTTATTGCCAGAAAGCCCGAGAGAGTGGACGACGTTAGCAAAAGGGAAATGAAAATGGGATGTAGACCAAAGCCTTCCTGAGAAACCCTTTTCGTTGGATGAATCGTTTTGGCTTGGAGAGAGGCCACAGGTTTCTTTGGCTCGCAGCACTGGTGTCAAGTTCAGAAAGAGGTGGTGGTGGAACTACTCTTACAACTGTAGATGTTGAGCCTCAGCCTCGAGTCTAAAACAAAGAATAGCCAGTTGAAGCACTTGTTTCTCTGAACACCCGGCTGTCAAACCCCTTACAGTAAATGTCTACCTGGAGAGTTGGACTCAGGGCCCTATGAACAACTCACCTGGATTTGATCTTCTCAGCCCAGGACCAAGGCAGTGTCGTCTCGAATGGCATCTTCCAGCTCCTGCACGTGGTGTCGACTGGCTCGGCAGACTTGGAGAGATTGTGAGACTGTCCTAAAAGAACAGGGAGACATCCGAAGGGTAGGGTTTTTTGGTTATTCCATACTAGACACAAAAAAATCATCTGCATATTCTATCTTTGCCTTTCCAGCAAATTACAAATGGCTGGAGCAAAACGAACTCTCGATCAAAGAAGGTCATCCTGCAGGTTCACGAGCCCATACTTGTCGACAGGAAGATAGGTCACACTCCTGGCACATCTCAAGTTAGCTCATCATCCACCTGCTAAGTGCAGTGTCAACGAAGCTTCTTCTGGCTAAATCATGCTCAATCCATGGCAGCTGAACCAACCCTTGTCGACTTCGAGGCGGCGGCAACTGGCCAGGACACACTTGTGCCTGCACGCGAGACAAAGCGCGACAGCGCGAGAGGGGTCGCTTGGCTCCGAGACAGCGAGAAAAACCACCGGTCTGCAGCGCTGGATTTCACGGAAATGACATATGAAAGCCGCGAGTCTGCGGCATCTCTCTTCTCTACATCGCACCAAGTCAGCCAGGCAGACTCAGTCTGAGTCGTGACAATGTGCTTCTTTCCAGACCCTTCGTAAAACTCCGCAACTCCTTTGATTGCCATGTTGTTCGACCTGAGCAATTCCACGGTGATGCGAAACAAATGGAGAATCGACCTGGGCTGCTCGGCTCTGTTGCTCCTGAGGTGAAGAAAATCTCCTCAAACAGCTTGGACATCCAGGAGCAAACGAAAGAAAAAGACTAACTAGATTCAGATGAGACCTGTGGGTTCACATCTCAAAGAACTCCTTGGCATCAGCATTGATGAGCCTTGCAATTTGTTCTCGGGCCTAGCATGGCAGGGCGCTGAAACTTCCCAGGGGCCTAGCATATCAGTGATCCTCCACCACGTTCGATTGCTTCTCCGGCCTTTTCGATTGCTTCTTCGGCATCCCAACCTGAACAAAGCCACAGTGTCACGTGTGAGCTCCACCTAGCCAGTTGTGACAAAGGCCCATGCCATAGGAGTGACTTCGGCTGTGAGGATTCCCAAAGCGGCCGTGGTAGTACGGGAGCCTCAGTTGGGTTTGTACTCACCAAAAGCAAGACTTGGACGTCAACATAGCGCAAAAATCACTGTAGTTCAACGTCCAAGCGATCCACATAGCATCTAACACGCGGGGATCGACAGGCGTAGTTGCCTGTGGCGTCACGTCACATCGAATCCACCATGGTCAGATCTCAAGCATTTAGGCAACCTACACCACTCTTAGATGTTCTTTGCAAATGACGGGAATAACTGTGATGAAACTGCAACTTACTTAAGACTTCTGCCACCATACCTTTTCTTGCCTGCATATCCAAGTAGGATGGCCCTGCACGATCTTCATATTCGTTCCTCCACCCAAAAACGGCACGCTACCAACCAGTCCCCACTCAGCCATGAACTTCCAAATCCATCTCTGCTTCCAGCCATCTCCTAACACTAATTACTTCTTAAGACTTGTGTCTTGGCTTGTGGTATGGCCATGTATGGACCACCATTCTTCCACAACGGAACCGCCGGGACGTCGCCCGACTGTCCAGAGAGAGCCGGCGAAGTGCCGGAGGCTCCCGCTCGCCCAGACGCGTGGCCTGAGTCGGAAGGCCGGGTGACCCGTCCCGCCCCGCTCGACTCATGGACAAAGAAGTGTTTCCAACAAGGGAACATGTGTGTAATGTCACATGACCTCTGCAACAGATCAAACTCACACACACACTTGCAAATGAAGGGCTTCTCACTCTTTTGTCCTAGAGCGAAGAATGTAAAGTTTGATCCTCAAAAACTTTGGCGTCCTCCTTCAACCTTAACCCTATTGTTTTTGATGTTCATCTGAAACAATCTTTATATAGTTGGACCTATATAATTGGTAGGATTCCCAATGTCGCATCCAGCTTCTTGGCTTCTTGGCAGAGCTGGCAAACAGCAGGCGCGTGGTGGCCCCCCTACTACCACGTGGACTACAGAAAGTCTTTTCAGGCTCACATAGATATCCTTTACCTGGAAGAAGAGGGAGAGCAGACTTTTGAATCTTTGTTAACCCAGTGTGCTAATGTGGCAGCCAAACACGGTTCATGGGTTGGACAAATTAGGATCCGAGGGAAAGGGAATGAGCTACGATGGTCGACAGGCCATGACGACTCCATACTCTCTCGTCGGATTGCTCTGTCATTCAGGAGGGGAGTGTGCACTTCTTCGCGGTCTTCGTCTACAGGTTTGCATCTGCTGGTTGATGATGGCTCTTACCCAGACCCCGCGTATCCTCAAGACGCAGATTGTCCAAGTGACGGCAACTCCCTCAGCAAACTTGCTGCAAGAGAAGGTTAGTCACTGAGTCTGCATCTGCCGATGAAGACGTACAGGGAAGATGCCTCTTGAGCCAACACGGAAGGCTTCCCGTTGTAAGAAAAGCTCGTGACGAGGGTTTGGGTGCTTGGCTCAGAGGCGGCACTCAGTCCAAAAGGGCACAAACGGATGACGCTGGTCCATCCCACCAAGCAGGTCACAGATGGGTGTGGCTGGAATGGACCCCTCAGAACTTGCAAATGATCCTGATTGCTGGTGCAACGCGCACCATTGGTTGGGTCTGGGCTGCAGAAACCGGTCCTCATCATGGCAGATGTTAACATATCTTCACAAGAGTTTATGACGACAACCATGAGCACGGTGATGCAGGTTTCAGAAGTGGCCACTGGGGAGGCAACATGTAACACTGGGAATGAGTTGGACTCGGCTTTGGTTTGCACGGACCTTGTTTGGGCGGACCTTGACAGGGACCATCACCACCCCCAAAAAGAGCTTCTTCAGAGGTTTGGCTTGAAGCCCAACTTGACCAACTCAAGACGAGTTTTCTGGTGCCCAACTCAAGCAGCGCTTCAGAATGAGGTTATAGGACGACGGCCTCAATGGGTTCACGACGTCACTCGACCCGTTGAGGGAAGCTTTACAGGTTGGGGGGCGTCAAGACGAATGCCCGTGGCACGTGGACCAAGAGACGGGGAAAGACAAATGCACGCAGGCCAGGTAGAAGAAGAAGGAAGACTATGATGTTTGTTGGGTTTTTTTACGGTAGAAACATGTGAAAACGAAGGAGGGCATGACTGGCAAATACAAGCAAGTGGACGTGGCTTGGGCCTGCAAGCAAAGGGTCACCTCCAACCTGTTGGTCCACCTGAAGCAGGACACCTGCAGCTTCAGCTGAGACCACTCCCAAGTAGCAAGCGCTTGCTTCGATCCTGGCAGGTGCGATGCCAGGGATGGGCCATCGCTGTGAAGTGCGATGGCCCACTCTGTGTGGTACACGCAAGGAGAGTGGCACACGCATGCGTCCTTGGATGCACTTTTGAAGGACAAACGGATGCCATGGCCCCATCAAGTTGCATCCAAATTGGGATCCAGGACACCTGGATGCTCCATGTGGAGCACTGCATGGCACGTTTTGCCAATGGAAGATGGCTGCTGGAAGGCTTCCCGCAGCCAAACAGATGGCCCGCAACAGAGCACCTGACCTGCACCCTTCCAGGTACCCAAAGAGGTCAAATCAGAAAGCTCTGAAACGAGCCAGAAAGCTCTGTGAGATCAGCATCGCGAGAACACTCTTTCTGAGGTCAAATGCCTCAAGAAAAGCAAGGTGACGTGACATAGTAGTCATCCAGGCCGAGGTTATATATGTTTCCCTGAGTGGATATGTATGTAACATACACATGATGTGGGTTTGTATTTTTATTGGGGAGACCTCCAAGCAGTTTTGGTCTAATTCCTTGATTCCAGTGGGTCTTTGGGAGGTCGATACACACCCATGTACAAATGAGGCAATGAGGCACTGGGTGTCATGATCCTCGACCTGGGCGTTGGTCTGTTGAGCCCGGTCGTTCAATCAAAAACACACACCAGTTGAAAACACCACGACCACCCAAAGAAATCAGAAACACCTGTCCGAGAAAGAAAGGCACCCCACCTGGCGAGCTGCTGACAACTTCTCCACCCCAATGCCATGGCTATCTATGAGCCGCGGCCATTTGGGTCTGAACTTGAATGGCTTCAATCAAAAATAACTTCTGTAAGCTGCTTACCTCGGCCCTGGACTTCATCCTGTAATGAGGGCAAGTCCGAAAATGCACAGTTCAGAGCCTCAACCTCAAGCAAGCACGCCACACCGCCACGCCGCCACGCCGCCGCGCTTCTTTCATGCCGTCAACGACTCCCAAGCTCTCGACGCCTCGGACGAGTTGGGTGAAATCACCCGACGGGTTGAGTCGATCGAGAGGTGCTCACGAGAGGTGCTCAGTGCTCACGAGAGGTGCTTGATTCCCGTTTCCCCATGGCCCTTGACCGGTGTTTTTTGTCCATCCCCATGAGGCTCAAGGACTCATGCACAAACCAAAAAGCGCCCGCGCCTCTGCAGGAGTAATGGCATGCTGCATTTGCATCTGTTCATCTTTCTGGAACCTGCATCTGCTCAGCATTCCACAATGATATGATATGTCATCTCAGGAAATGGTCTTCAGTTGAACCGGAAACATGACACGCTCATAGAGGCAACAGAATGTACCAAGCCCCCTACACGTCCATCAGCGGCTCGCCCCGCATGTATCCTCTCTCCTGCAACAGCAAGCTCTCAAAACAAACAGTGTTCGGGAAACCACTGTGACGCTTCTCCACCATAGTTCTGGGCGAAAGTGGTTTCCAAACAGTTTGAAACTTCCCAGTCCTTTCCAATCTTCAAAATATCTTTCCATTTGCTGCCTCGGTGCCACCGCTCCGCAAACCCCGCACTGCCGACTGCCGACTGCCGCACTGCCGCTCTGCCGCACTGCCACACCCTCCGTCTGACGACGACTCGGAGGCCGACTGTAGCGGCTCAAATGTTCGAAGTCTCCCACGATCACCTGGGGATCGGTTTGTTTTTGGCATCTTTTGGCACTTTCCACAGTGGCCCCAATGCTGACCCGTCAGAAATGCAGAAGTTAAAAATTGCAACCCTTTCCTACTTGAAAACATCAAAAACTCGAGTCACCCAAATATATCGCTGTCAGACAAGTCACAAGACCAGCAACTGCTCGAGACCTTAATCGAGGGAGATCTTCGATTGAGGAGTCTCGATTTTGACTCGATGGCATTGTCTCCTAATATCTCCTCATATTCTCAGATCGACCCGCAGCAGAAGGGAGAATAAATGAAAGACCTGAAAGCCTAGTAGTTAGGTTTCCACTTTTTGAGACAAGCTCACTCTTTCAGTCACGGGCCCTGAGAACCAGGCACTGCTACATTCAATCGTCTGGGGTCAGCGAGGAAGCCGATTGGACGCCTGACACCTGGCAAAAATCCACGTCGAACCGGTCCAACCAATGACCAGTCTTGCCATGTCACAACCGATTGGACGCCTGGTCTTCACCGGCACAAAGCTAAGATAGTCACTTTGACCGAATATCTTATCACTGACCCAAAATTCAAGATACATGCAGAATGTGAGCCTTTCTTTTCTTCGAGGTGGTAAACAATGAAGCGCTTCTTTCTTGTGTCTAAGTGCACCTGCTACTTCCTGTACACTTCTGGCTTTAAACAGCGCCAATCGCGCCACTGCCAGTACAGGTCTGCAAACAAAAATCGTGCAGAGCAAAAATGACATCGGATTCAAGGCACACAGCTCTTGAAGTGATGCCTTTGATCAGAGGCTCACACTCGTGATCCCTCTTGTCACCTGAAAACACCGCAGACACACTGTTCCAGCACAGAAGAATTCAGCCATCGCAAGCATGGCAAGTGCTCTTCTGGAGCCCACGGATCAACATCGGGCTGCAATAAATTCGTAGAAGAACACCACAAGGGAAAACATGCGTTTTGTTCATGGCTGCCAAGACTCTGAGAAGTCAATGGCACCCGCCTCGCTGGCCTCGCACAAGTACCCGGCACGCCGGGCGCGGCGCGGGGTGAGGCGGCGAAGCGGTCTTCGGCTTCGGTTCACCTAACGACCCTCTAAGAACCTTGGCATGCTTTAACTATGGAACGGGTCTTCCCTTTCCCTTTTGTACCACTCTGCTGACTCTGGTCGTGAAGAACATATCGCAAGTTCTGTAAGGCTGCTAAGTCTGTGTGATTCAAAAAGTGGCTGGCTCAGAACCAGGCTTTAGTAGGTGCACCATGAACTGCTCGCTGGATGCTTAGCATGATCTCTTCCAATGCGCCAGGCATATTCGACAGCTCAACTGCGACCTTGGTTATCAACAAACTCCAGACTCTTATCACAAATATGCACCATGTTTTTGCATTCTCTTCAAACCGAAACTAGGCCCCGATCATCTGCACAGTCCGATGACCTTCCCTCCTGGGCAAGTGCCATGTTTTGACAAGGCCAAATCGAAACGGCTGAGAAATGTCGAATGTCAACTTCGCGGTGCAACTTCGTGGAGGCCAACTCCTACCGCCCACGTAGGTCAGTTACATTCAAAACAAGGATCCGAAGTGGCAAAACATGGGTCAATTTGATAAACACAAATGAGCGGGAGAAGCTCAACTCCTGCAACCCATATGACATATGAACTCACGCTCATTACGAGCTAGTGCTTGAGAATCCTCGCTTGGCTTCAGTGATATAGGGTTTAGGGTTTCCAGTGGGAAGCGACACGCCTCGACCCAAAGGGTCGCAGGGCAGCGCATCTTAGCTGAAAGCATCAACCCACACCAAGACCACCCAAATGTTTGCGCCTTTGCGTTTCTATGAAGAGCGTCTGAGCGATCTGCTGAAATGCGATTTTGGTTTAGGAAATGCCGAAAAGTACGAGGCCTAAAACCTGCAGGCAGGATGTCAGAAAGAATGAAACCGCAAAGCTAAAGACCTAAAACATCGAAACTTAAAGCCGAGGGTCCTAAAACCTTAAGGCTACAGGTCTAAAACCACAACGCGCTGAGGTGGTTCGGCGCTCACTTAATGATTGAAAACAGCTTGTTAGTGAAACGTCAAGCCTGCTTTTCGCTGCTGCCCGCAGCATTTTCACACTTTCACACGAAGAGCCACGAATTGTCTTCGTCTATCTGAAGAAAGGCATCAAGATGGCACCCCATCTGTCCGGGCATTTTCTTGCCACTGCCATCCCCCCACACCACCCCACCCCAGTTTAATCACGCGACTTATCGATGACAAGTTCTGTGAACCCGATGACAAGTAGTTCTTTGCATTCGATGACAAGTTCTATGAATCTAATGACAAGCAGTATAACCCACCCCCCGATCGGGCACAGTCACAAAACCCTGTACTTTCTGCAGGTTTTGAGGTATGGAAGTGCAATTTTCGTGGCAGGCGCAGGGAATTGTGAGGTTGCGAGGTGTGGCGGAGGTCACATTTCGCGGCAGGCACAGTACTGCGTGCGTGTGAGACATGTGGACATGCAACTGTTCGTGCCAGACGCAGGGAATCGTGAGGTGACGAGTTGTGCTGGAGGTGAATGTCGCTGTGACATTGGGATTGGCGTGTGAGTGGGTGTTGTTTGTTTGGAGGGACTGAAATCGCGCAACTGCTTGGCAGGGCTGCTTGTGACGTTACCAAGCTGGAGCATGAAAAAAGAGCTCTTGAACATGTCTATTACGCAAACAGTCGACTTGAATGTATTTGTCAACATATGTAACTATTCGAACGTGTTTGCATTCGGGCTCGTGGGCTCCATCTTGTTTTATTTGCAGCTCGCAGAAAATCTAGTAGAAGAGTCGGTGCTATGGAGCTCCGTACGCTTGGTCTGCGCTTGGTCTGTATCGAAGGCCATCTGCAAATTTCATATTTGTGATTTTGAGCCTTGTTGACTGTCAAACCACTGTTGAAACCTGAATCAGGCTCGTCCCATATATGTTCTATGCCATCCTGCAACTCCCTTGGGTCACTATTTCTCAGCCATGGCCAAATAGAGATATATAGAAAGTGAGGACTGAAGATAGTCATGTTCATGTGAAAACGTCTAATCTAATGCTCTATGCATCTCAGGATGTAAGAAAGGCTCCTTCGCATGCACTGTTGGCACGAAGGGGTGCGCAGCTAACTGCTTGCCATTCCAAACCAGAAAGCAATGCACGGCTGGCGCAAGCCCTGCAAGGATCTCCACCTGATTTGCCGTGCTGGGTACCTCGCGGCAAGGTGGGACAGCTAGAGTGTCATGGTGGGACATCTGTCAGACATCCCGAATGACACAACCCCCAAACCTCCCAAACACAGCATCCCGTGATCCTCTGACATGATCCTCTTGATCCACGTCTTCCCTTGTCAACCCGACATCGAATCGACTTCCGGCCTCCATCATGTGGAGCCCCTCCGAAGGGATCTGAGCATAAGCCACGGTTGGAGCTAAAAGTCCATCCGGCAAATCCTGCAGGCCGAGGCGGGTCGGTCGCCAGTTCAGTTCGAGTGCTTGGCCACAGGCGTACACATAAGACAAAAGAAGGTCAGGGCAACTTTAACAAGCCAACCCTAAAAGGGACCTTATTAAAGAGGACCTTTACCTTCGGTTCTTTCTGGTTCTTTGGTTGGCTTATCTTGATGTATGTGTTCTATGCTTCCAGCCAGGCCACCAAAGTACCTGCATTAAAAAAATACACTGATAATATTGAATATTGGAAGTGACCATGGAGCCAGGTTCAAACGTACGCTGAAGTAGTTTTGAAATTTCTGCTACTTTCCGGCCCTAGGAGCACTCATGTGAGAACGGCTACGCAGCAAAGAGAAGCTTCTCACACTGTCCTCATAGAGACAAGCTGCTGTGAAAGCGCGGCTTGTCAACAAAGGAGAAGAGGCAGGTAGTAGAACACTGCCTCTCAAAAGTTGAATCTGGCGCTGGCAGTCGTTCTAGGAATTCTTCTCCGAGTTTGAAAAGGAGTGAATACCCGAGTTGAATATTCTCAACTCCTGGGTTAATTCTTTTTCTTTTGGTACCTATCAGCTACCCCCTGAGAAGTATTAACTCCCAAGTTAATTCTTGGTACCATCCCTATTGTAGAAGAATCAACTCAGGATTTAATTCTTTTTATGTGCCCCCTACCCCAATGTGGTACTTTATTGCTATTTGGGTCCCTTCAAAAAGAATTAAATCCTGAGTTGATTCTTTTGTGGGCACCATGGTGGAATAGATTTTGTGTACAGGTTGTTTTGGAAAAGAATTAAATCCCAAGTTGGTTAGGAAAAGAATTAAATCAATAGTGAATTCTTTTCCAGGGCTGCCATGTCCCACCAATCCTCCAACAATCTTCTACTTTCTCTCTTTCTCATACAAACCATCTAGAGCTAGAGTTTCTTCCAAGTTAGTAGGAAGATAGACAAGGATAGAAAGACAGACAGGC